CAGTATAAACTAAAATAATCAAAGAGATAGAGTAGTTTATTACTTTCTCCGTTTGATAATAAGTGTCATTCTGACATATTTCACACAAATTAAGAAATTAATAAAATATACAAATATATCTCTAATTAATATACTTTTATAACATTTAATTACAAAGACTAATGCAGAATGACATTTATATATCTTTAAATGAATGGTAAAACGAGAAATAAGAGTAAAAAGTTACATTGAAAATGTAGAATGACACTCTTTTTAAAAAAAAAATGAAATCTAAAATAACATTTATTATAAAACGGAGGGAGTAATATTGATTACAAAACAAATTAGTTTGAAGAAAACATTAATATCCAATAGTTATCCACATTTGATCGGATCACTTGTTTAAATTTGGTCGTCTTCGGGATCCACACCACGTCTCTTGTCCACAATCGTCACCACTCATCTCATTTTTATTTTGACTCTGCTTTCAAAAAAATACAAATTATGTTGAAATTGCGGCACTCCTCCTTGTTTTGTTTTCCCTAACATGAACTCTTACTTTTCCTATACAGTTTTTTCTAATACAAGGTAAATGAAGATTAATTTTTTTAAGACGTGAGACACTTTTGAATTTGTTTCAACAGGCATATATATACATCAAAATATGTTTCTTTTACCAGTTGAATATATAAACTACAGTAAACTGCTTTTCATTTCTAGTATATCGAACTAAAAATAACTCTATGTCTTGAAGATGTATAGCTGTAACTTCCTCTTAAGGCACATCCCATAGACCACTTTTTTAAAAAATATGTGTATATATAAGATTATACGTACAACAGTCGTTTTAAATTCAACGTATTGTCGTAATGAAAAAAAAAAAAATAATAATAACAGATGGCACAAGTGTAAATAAAGGGAAAGAGAACCCAGGAATAAGGTCACAATCTTCCAGCTTATAAAAAGCATCTCATAGGACTCAACCTCACCAAAGTCATATCCTATTGTATCACTCTCCTTCAAACATAGTCAGAGAAAAACAGCGCTTCTTGTCTAAAAACCAGAGATAGATTGAGTTGAGAAAAATATAAGAAAGAATGGATCAAATGGTGGTAGGCTCTCACGTGTACCCCTACACGACACAAACACAAGGTTCACAGTGCATCATCGTTAACCAGATCGATAGATCATTGTCATCAGGCGAAGGACCTAAACCGGTGAAGCGGCGGAGGAAGAGGAAAGGCAAAGGGTCGTCAGCCACCAACGAAGATGACGTGGCGGCGATTGGAGGGATGCTGAGGAAGAGGAAGTTGACCGATGAGCAAGTGAATATGCTCGAATATAGCTTCGAGAACGAGCACAAGCTCGAGTCAGGGAGGAAAGAGAAGATCGCCGGAGAGCTAGGTCTTGACCCGAGACAGGTGGCTGTTTGGTTCCAGAATCGCCGTGCACGGTGGAAGAACAAGAAACTCGAGGAAGAGTACGCTAAACTCAAAAGCCAACACGACACCGTCGTCCTCGGCCAATGTCATCTCGAGGTTCAGGTAATAATCTTCATTTTTTTTTTTGCATTATAAAACAGAGAAATTTAATGATTGTTTTGTTCTTGCCGAATTTCATGTTGGCTGTTTATAAAAAATGAATAATTTTTACCCTTTTTTCTTCAATTACGTATAAGATATATATATATATCCTATGTGACTATTGGTTAATTACATTTTTCAATATTTAGTGAAATAGAATTTAATTATCAAGAGCCAGGGCCCACAAATGATATGAGTGGATAGTTCGTCATCTTATTCTTTATCCAACGTTTTGAAAACAACTTCGTCCGTACAAAAAATCTCAGTTGAACTCATGATAGCCCATTTGCAATTACCACTCAGTTAGTGCCACGTATAATTCTTTTCTGGGGTACTTAGGACGAATAATGAAAAAAGAGATTTTTTAAAATTTTGATACTAAAACTTACGTAATATATAGAGGTAAAAGAAAAAACTGTTGAATAGTCTACATTTACAGTATGTTTTTTCAAACAGAAAATTGAACTGTGTATATCTCACTTTTTACTTCACTAAAATGGCTATCAAAGTATTCATCATATTCATATGTACGTAATTTTGTTTTGTAGGTATTAAAACTGACAGAACAACTGAGTGAAGCTCAAAATGAAATTCGAAAACTTTCGGAAAGACTTGAAGAGATGTCAACAAACAGCTCAAGTTCATCGCTTTCTGTTGAGGCCAACGATGCACCAATTGATTTCGAGTTTGCACCGGAAACTAATTACAACATCCCATTTTACATGTTAGATAATAATTATTTACAAAGCATGGAGTACTGGGATCGCTTGTATGTATAATTTTAACAACTTTATATTTATAGTTTATGGTTGAGAGAGCATGTTATAATTTATGTAAAAATAGATGCTGGAAAAAACTGTTGTAAATGTGCCTTTTTCAAATTTTATTTTAATATTATGGGATTTTCACTATGTTCAAGTTCTATATATATAAATTCTGATTTAAGTAAAGTAATATACAGTCGTATATGCCAATATACACAATCAAGAGGTTGTCAATATACATATAACCTATTTTCCATTACTATCACAATAAGATATACAAGCTTTAAGAAAAAGTAAAAGGCAGTAGATTTACAATTAATTAGTTACCCAAATCAGTTTTATATCCAGCTGAAACAGAAATCCTATTTCATTACTTATAGAGTTTTCATTTTCTTATTAGAAATCCTGTATAGATATAAAGTTCCATTTTTTTTTCAACCAGTTGAAGTTTCTTGTTAAAAATGGAGATTGGACGGAATTCTTAGAACTAAATATAATTTGATGGACTAAGACACAGATGTACAGAAGAAATCCATTTTATTTAGTCAACAATCTTCGTTTGAAGGTCATATAACACGGATAACACAAATAAATTTTTAAATGTGTTTGAATTTGTTATTTTGTAGGGATATTATATAAAGTTTTCGCTTCTTTTCCCTCCCGTTCCACATACAGTCCAATTTTTGAAAAAAAAAACTTTCACAAACGCTCCCAAATTTGATAGAACTTACATAAACACCCCAAAACATTTCGGTATATAAATAAGTAGCGTCACACTTTTACTCTCTCTCGTCTTCATCGCTCACTTCAGAATGAGGCCTCGAGGGTACCAACGAGCTCCGTCAATGGAGGAACCAACGGAGATTACGAAGGAGAAGACGCTTCATCCAAATTACCCATTTCTCATGTCCTCTCATGGTCTCAAGTCGTTTGAATCGGACGACGATGACTCAGACCGCGATTCCGACGATCAATTCGCTTTTAGCATTAACACAGATTTGCTAGTCGATGCCAAAGACGTATCTATTGGGGAACTGATCGGCGAAGGTTCATCTTCAAAAGTCTACAAAGGATTGTGGGTTTTTTGCCGTTCTCAATTCCTACTTTCAAATTCGTCTTTTGGTTATGGCTTTTGATGAAAATGCGATTTTGTTTACGTGTTTCTCATTTCTTGATTTCGGTGTTTGTTTGATTTTATCATCGTTTTGGTTTTGGATATTGTTAAATTCTTCAATACTTCGGGCCTTAAACCTATTCTAAGGGTATAAGGTTTCAGGGTTTATTGCCGGTTGAACAGCTTGAATTCTAGTTTTAACCTTGAAATTTGGGATCTTCCCTACTGGTTAGGGTTTCTGTGAAAGATAGTTTCTTGTTCAAAATTCAGGGATGTATGTTAATCAGCGGCAATGCGGACCGGACAAGGATTTTTGTTACTCTAGATTTCTGTTTAAATTTGATTGAATCGATCAATGGTATGGGATAAAAAAAAAGTAGCAGGAAGTGTTATGTGTTTACGCTTTTAGTGTTCCAAGTTTCAGAATGATTCTTTTGAAGGATAATGTTACATAAGAACAAATTTTCTGGTAGCTTAGTAAGTGATACATCAAGTGTCTTATGCATGGTTTTCTTGAATAGAAATATTGTGTCTGATGCAAGGAAACTAGATTACTGGTTTCATTAGGATAATTCCTCAATCATTTGAATAATCCCAATGGGGTAACGAGTAATCCTTGTATTGTGGTATATCTGATGATGATAGGTTCAGGAAAGTTAACCCTGTGTCAGTGAAGATATTCCAGCCTAAAAGAACATCTACTGTAGGCATTGAGCAGAAGAAAAAGTTTCAAAGGGAGGTTCTGTTGCTCTCCAAGATTAAACATGAAAATATTGTGCAGGTAACATGGAGCCTTTGATGTTTGCTTGTTTTCATATTATATCGTAGGTCGTTGGTAACCTCGCAATGTATTGTTAGCTGAGATCAATTTGATGACAGTTTATCGGGGCCTGCATAGAACCAAGCTTGATGATAATTACTGAACTCATGGAAGGCAATACTCTTCACAAGTTTATGTTGAGTACTCGTCCTAAGCCTCTTGATCTGAAGCTCTCGATTAGCTTTGCGTTGGATATTGCTCGGGCAATGGAGTTCCTGAATGCAAACGGCATCATTCACCGTGATTTGAAACCAAGTAAAATTATTTATTAAGTTAACCCGTAATATCGCCAAAGAGGATTCAAGATTGTGAATGTAAAGACAACAAATTTTGAGGAAGTTTGGCTCTTTGCAGGTAATATGCTCTTAACAGGTGATCAGAAACATGTAAAATTGGCGGATTTTGGACTTGCTAGAGAGGAAACTAAAGGTTTCATGACCTGTGAAGCTGGTACCTACAGATGGATGGCCCCTGAGGTGATTGTTTCAAATTTCTTGATCCATACACATATATCAGTCTTTTCACAGGATGGTTGTTTGTTTCTCAGTTATTCAGCCATGAGCCGCTTCAAATTGGCGAAAAGAAACACTACGATCATAAGGTGGATGTTTACAGCTTCGCTATTGTCTTCTGGGAGTTACTTACCAATAAAACCCCATTCAAAGGAAAGAACAACATCTTTGTTGCTTATGCTGCCAGTAAAGTAAGTAAGACACATTTTTTAAGCTCGATTGCCAGTTGATTATGAGATTGATCTTGTTTCTTGATGTCTTGCTTTCTTCAGAACCAGAGACCAAGTCTGGAGAATCTTCCAGAAGGAGTTGTTTCAATCCTTCAAGCATGCTGGGCAGAGGATCCTAAAGCTCGTCCTGAGTTCAAAGAGATTACAGTTTCACTAACAAACTTGCTTAGAAGTCTATGCTCAGACAACGATGATTCTTCGTCGAATAGCAAAGCCAATGTAGCTAACGAGGATTCAACTAGCAAACTGGTTCAGGAACGCGTTGTCTGTGATTGTCCTGGGCTGAAGATGATGACGACGAAGAAGAAGAAAACAAATAAAGTGATGAATATGATCGTTCCTTTTCTCAAGATCTTTAAAAATTGTTTGTCTAAGTGATGGAAGTAGCTACTCTCCGTTTCTTTACGGTATAAAAAGAAAGGTATAGCAATACAAACTTGACAGGGTAAAAAGAAAGAAAATTTGAACATGTTTTGTTATTAGGCTTCTTTTTTTTTAGTATAACTTTTTGATATTTCGATAGACAAACAATTTTAATATTATATTGTGAAAAATAATATGCAAACACATTAGAAAAATTATATAGCTGATCATCATAATATGACGACATTTTTTTCTGAGCTTTCACCTCGCTATAAACACAATTACACCAACTTACATATTTATTTACAGATTCACGTTAGATAACGATAGCTAAAAATTATTTAGACTCCGTGATAATTATTATTAATACATATAAATTCATGATCTCGTGGGGCCTCGGTTACAAAACTTATAAGAAAACAGAAAGAGTCCGTTTGAAAAGAAGATCGGTTAAACGAACGAGTTTTGTCTTAAGCTGGTGTGACGTAAGAGACGACGGCGGTGATGTCATCAAGCTTTCCTCCGTAATATCTGAAGCCAGCCTCCTGAGCCGCCGCTGAGAAAGGGCTCTGTCGTTTTCTGTCGACTGCTCTCGCACGTGCCAAATCCGCAATCTTCTGAGCCGTGGCTTTCGGGTCTAAACCAGCCCTGACCGAGCTAACCACCACTCCCGTGATTTCTTCGTTGTATAGGTTATCATACACACCATCCGTTCCCGCCACAATCACATCTCCAGACACGACATCAATCATAAAAACCTAATTCATATACCCACCAGGTTTAGAGGGTTGTTCAATCCGTTTAAACCAAACCAATCCAACAACAGAAAATGTGTCCTAAAGTGGTTTAACTTTTTTAGAAATCACATTTTAGGCATTGCAGCCTTTATGAAGATTCATGAGCTCAGAACATACCTGACCAGAGTTAGGCATATCGCCACCGTTTCCACTCTCTAATTGGTAAGTAAAGTTGAATCCGTGCTGCTGGACCGGTGACTGAAACACCGTGGTCCCATCTCTAACCACCGTGAATCCACTGTCTCCGAGATTAATGGCGTGTAGTCCCTGATAGAACAAACAGTTTAAACAGAGAGTACCTTGAAATGCGGTTTTTTTTTTTTTTGTTCAGTCACAATCAAAGCTACCTTATCCGTCAAAGCGATGATACAAGCCGTTGACGAACCTTTGGCTCTGGTTTGAGAATGCGCTTTCTCTAACACCATTAACGGGTCGATAGAAGAACCCTTAGCCTGTTCTCGAATAGCTGATACTGAAAAAGACATTAGTTCACGAGAAAACAGTCCAGCGTTAACACCAACTTCTGCCCAACCGCCAACACCATCTGCAACTCCAATAGCTTGTTCTTCATCACAGATAAAGTGAGCGTCTTCTCCACCTGTAGCTTCTTTTTCAGGATGCGGAAGATAACAGGAACCTGACACGAGCTTCAGACTCCTGCTCAAAATACATATAAGGTAGCTCAAAAAAATTTGAAATCAAGAGTTTTTTTCCTTGGTAACTAAAAAGGTTTACAAAGTGTGAAGAAACTTACTTAAGAGATGTAGTAGTTGGTGGTGAGCCTGAAAGCTCCGAGTCTTGAGAAGCACCGTTAAGAGAAGACAGCTCATGAGCTGGTCCTAACGAGAAACAAACGGTAGAAGATGTATGAACGCTCTTTGACAATGTACCAAAGAGCGCACGACTCTTGTGGAGGGGATCAATGACAGAATAATGGCAAATCAATCGGTTCTTAATAGCCCCTCTCTTGCCAAGTCTCACGCTAGCTGCAGGGGAATCAACACTGAAGCCGCCACCACCTGAATGCTTCTTAGTGAAATCTAAGCCATTTGCACAAGTTGTAACCAAATCATCCAGGCAAGCGTCCCCAAATACAGGCAAAGAACCAGAAGCAGCCATCGCTCGTCTCCTTCCGGCTAGACGAAACCGGGAGCTATCAGAAAAGGATCTACTTTCACCGGGAATGGAGAAAAAGCTCTTACTTTTCCCAGCTACGATTCTTTGAACCCCGAATTGAGAAAGAGGGTTTAATCTTGAGAGAGCAGTCGCTGACATCTGAAGAAATAAAAACCAGAGATTCCATTGCTATAGTTGCACATTTACACTTAAAAATACAATCCAGAAATCATCCACGAATCTTAGAGCCTATAATCAAATAAAAGGAAAGGTTTTCACCAAAACTGATTGAAAAATTACACCAATCCATCATCAAACGAACCTTGAGCAGAACCAAGTTCAAATATACTTGAGAAAGGATAATAAACTATTACCGGAATTCTTCACTCTTCAGGGCTTTTTGGGTGTCTCTTCGCAGGGATTAGGTTTTACGATTGAACAAGTGAAAGCCACATAAGGAGAAAGATAGGAAAAATCAATTATTTCCAGTTGCCGAGACATCCTTTTAATTTGGGGGTTATTATTAGTCTATGTCTATTACCAACCTCCTCGATTTGCAACCGCGAGCTCCTCGGTAAATTTCATCAGCCGTTGAGGGCAAAACCGGCATTTATGCCTGTAATTTTTTTTTTTTCATAACAGTAGAATAAGAAAAAAAAAACTCGTGGATTCGATATCTAGGCCCAATACTACTAATATAGCTTTGAGAATTGAGTAGCCCTTCGTATTAATGGGCTTGAAATAATTACGGCCTATCAGCAAACACTTGAGAATTCACCCTACTAGGCTTCCAATATTCCAATTACAAGTAGTGTCTATACTTAAAAGACCACTACACAAATAATCCAATTCACAGGATCTTTCTCATTTTTATTAGTCAAAGATTTTCATTAATCTAGTGATTTCTATTAACCGTGTTATTATGTAGATTTAATCTCGGTAGAGATACATGATGTGGGTAGATAATCTTTGCTGTGATGTCTAATCTCCAAAATAAAATTTGAGAGGAATAAAGCCCTTTTTTGGGTTCAACCTGTCATGATAATTCCATCACTATTATGGACCTACGACGCGATTGAAACATCAAAATCCAAAATCTTTGGTCGATTCTCCAATCAAATCACTGGTCAAGTCGATTGGTATGTATTTCGAATTTATCTGCCCAAAGTTAGACCATTTTAGTTTTGAAAGATTTTTAGAAAAAAATATCCGACTTTCAAAAAGATGACTACTTTTGGGACAAGTCAATTCGATCTCATTACTGGATTTTTCCCATTAATGAAAAATTCGATTCAGCGTTTTAAGACAGCAAGCAACACACTAATAATAGAAACTTAAAACCCAATTCAATGTATCATCACTATCATAGTCATTATCATCGGTTTTAATTTGAAATCTACTAATTCGAATTCATATCCATAAAACATATCATGAGGACACAAAAAAAATGTTGCCTAGCTAGAAGCTTTATGTACTTAGATAAGAAAGAAGAAAAAAAAAAAACTCGAGGAATAACACTAAACTTTCACTAAAACAAGATACCAAAATATCTAAACCTGATTACATCCTTAAAATTTACTATATACTACAACACTGATCTAAGTCTCTCTTACGAAGTTCTACCAATGTCTTTGCCTGAAAACTCCCCAGACCCAAAGACATCGATCCCACCGCCACCTCCGATTGAAGTTAACAGAGCAGATAATCCGCCACCGGAATTACCGCCATTACCAACGGCTCTTCCCAACCCGAGAAAGTCAAGTGTTGTCTGTTTGGGACCAAACACGGAAGAGTTACCCATCATGAGCTCTTTCAGACCCGATCCGCTACCACCGCTGCTACAAGGTAGTCCCAGTCCAAGACCAGGAGGAGCTAAGGAAGCCGCGTCATGATTGCTAAGTTCCATGGATGACGAAGTAGTTGAAACAATGCCTAACCCGCGAAGCAACGAACCTCCTGAACCCGTGGAGCCCATTTGTGCAGCTTTTTGGAGCAATGCGGTTGCTGACATTGCGGGTTGAGGGGGAAGAGGGGTCAGGAAATGTGGTGTTTCTTGTATTGTTGTTCCGAACAAAGAAGGATTCGTCGAGAGACAGAGAGAGATGGGTTCTATGGAGGAAGATGGTGCAAACAGACTTGGGGAAGGAGTTGACGAAGCATACAAACTAGGCGAAGCTGTAGATGATGCAAACATCCCTGCGTATGCACCGTTGTTCCTACTATGATCGTTGCTTAGAGCCGATGAGCTCACATTGAAACCGATTGTTCTTGGAGCTTCCTCGATGATGACTTCAGGAGGGTTGTTTTCTGGAGATTCTGCAAACAGTTGGAGGAGGAGGTGATGGGTCATTAACATAAACGTTTGGGGACTTTATACCCTACTAAATGTATGTGTAACTCTACTATGAAAAGAAGCAGAACTCCTCAGTTCTGAGTTATTTATTTATTTATTTTGTGTAATGGAATCAATTCAGCTAATGGAAGACGACGAAGAAGATTTAGTTTTTGAACGATCAGAATACAGACAAAACCAGCTAAACTCCAAGAACGATCACCAAACATGACTTTTCGATTTCCTTGGAGTTGTTCATGTTTCGGTTAAATACGTGAGGATTCATAATAAACTGTTCATGTGGCGACAAAAGTTAAATCCAAATTTTCCTGTCACGCAGAGAGTTTGTATAATGTACCTGAAGTATCCCGAATCGGCAAAACCGAGGAAGATACGGTTTTGGCAGGCTCAGTGTCAGCCGAAATAGCAGGTGCCGGAGCTAGAGCAACTGACGGCGGAGAAGGAGGAGGAGGAGGAGAATCAACGGCGGCTGGAGATTTCTGGTCAGGCTCTGGGTGATTCTTCCTTGTGACTGCTTCTGGATAAAGTTTCTTGCTTTGAGTATGATTCTTGGCACTCTCTTCAGCCAACGCATCACAGAAAGCTCTGTGCGTTATGAAGCTATCTCTTCTGCAACAAAACCCAATCCACAAGTTAGTACCGTAAGATATTCAGACCAAAGATCAAACCTTGGGGTTTTGCATCGCACCTAGAAAACAGAGTTCCGCAATCGCATCTATACTCCTTGGTGCCACAAATCTTTGAATGAGCTTTCCAATCTGATTGAACAGCATACTTCTTCGAGCATTTCTCGCACTTCCATTTCTTCTCGCCGTGTTTCCGACAAAAGTGCTTCTTGATTCCAGTGAGATCTCCAAGAGCACGTAACGGGTCGTGATGAACACACCCTGCCACTGGACAAACATAGACCTTCTTCCTCACTTCTTTACTCGATCTCTGTCGAAGTTTCCATGGTAGATTGTGACCACGACGATGAAGCTGAAGATTCTGGTCGCGTTGAAACCCTTTGTTGCAGATTTCGCAGACAAATCGGTTTGTTGCCATAAGAGTTTTAGGTGACAAGGCTATCACTTCCGCGTCTGGATCTGATTTGAACCCCCAAAAAAAGACAAAATTTAAAGTTAAACCGAAACAAATTTTCAAATTAAAAACAGAAGGTTTCGATTTTTCTAAGTACCTGGCATTCCCGGGAGATTCCGTTTCTTTTTCCCGACCGATTTCGGAGGATGGTTTTGGTTTCCGGTCGACGAGACGCTTGCATCGCCGGAAACCGTAGAGGAGTTATCTAAATCAACCGGCATGTGCAAAGACACAAATTTCGACCTTTTTCCCTCACAGATTCAACACAAAAAGAGACAAATCTCAGCTTAATCTAAGGTTTATCAACTGCTTCTTCTTCTTCTCTCTATCTATCTCTCTGCTTCAGCTACCAGTCAATCTGCTTTTCGTAAAAAAACCTCCTTTTTTCCCCTTTCCGCCACCAAACTTTTCTGATAACTCACTCTGACCTCTCTTCCCCAAAAGATTAAAAAAAGGAAAAATAAAAATCAGAACTTCATTACCCAAGAAATCTCCTAATCATTTAACCCAGAACTCTCTCCACACGCTTCCTCCATCCACCGATCTGATCCAACGGCTAAAATTCCACCGGAGATGAGTATCCGTACTTACGGCTTCTTCCAGAACAAAGTGATTGTGATCCTTTCTTTCTCACTCTAAAGAATCACCGAAGAAAAAAAATAAGGCGGCTTCTGAAACTTTGTGTGAAAGCTTCTATTTTTTCTTTCTTTCTTTTCTTTGGTTTGTCCGAGACAAAGGAGCCTTCTTCTTCTTTTCTCTCTCTTCGGGGACAATTATACTATTTTTCTTCTCAACTTTTCAGCATTTAAATATATTTTATTTTTTTTACCAACAAGTTTTTATAATTGTGTCGACTTTCAAGTTCCAAGTATTTAAATCTGATTTTAGGATTCCCATGCAAAAGTAAAAATTAAATAACCACCTCTTCCCTTCGTCCATGAAAGAAAAACCTCGTCTTCCTCTTCTTCAATTTGATTTGTATTTTGAGAACGGTGTAAGAAGAACCTATGTTCAAAAGAAGAAAATGGTAAAGCATCAAACATGAGGAGTAAAAAGATAAGTTATAATCTTTCACCTTTTCTTAAAAAAGAAAAATATCATAGACAAAGGTGTACTGATAAAAATGGCATGTGAATTTATGCAGTGCCCAATGAATGCAATATCAGATTTTTATTATTTTTTATTGTACATGTTACGTAATCAACTGACAAGTATTTAATATTCGTCGATGACCTGAAAATTTTATTTTTCTGCATAAATTTTATTGTTAGAAAGAAAACGGATCAACTTTGTAAATAATGTTTCCCAAAATTAAGAACACTTATTCTTCTCTTCTGAACAATGATCATATATAAGAAAGACATTGCATTTTGCATTTTAGTTCGAACTTCGTTTAAAAGAAAGATTCTCAATAAACAAACTTAATCTGTTGAAATAGTAAACATAAAATTATCAAGATTTTAAAACTATCAGTCTATCATAATGATGATGAAATGGACGAAAATAAATAGGATTTTTTCATATTTTGTGAGAAAAGGGGTGAGTAAAAAAAGAAAAATGACTGTCACTGTCTTAGGCGGGAAGACAAATGAGGTATTACCGTCCCGTTGTCGGGCCCAATCCTCAGTCAAATTTTTTCCAACAGCAAAACTTAAACAATGTCTAAGCAGTTAAACAGATTTACCGTGGAGTTTGTCGTGTAGCAAAATGTTTGAAATCGCATTTTGTTTTCTTCTTTATTGGTATTTTGTGATTAACGAAACTCTAAACCATTTAATGCAATGTTCGTCTCATTTTGTTGACTTTGACCTTTTGGTATTATTCGTTCAGCTTTTGTTTTAACGTTTTTATGCCTTGTAGGCGTTTGAGAAGCTCAGATGATGCCACGTGTCTTTATTTTGTCCGATTTGCCTTCGTTGGATAAACGCGACCATGACAGGTGGAAGTAAAAAACACAAACTAGCTTGGATTTCTGCGTACTGTTACACCGCCACACCCCTTAGAATATATTATTACCCTTAATAAATTTTAAGAAAATAAAATAGTTATAAAAAGTTGGAATTAAAGTCATTCAAAATATAAGAAAAACAATTTTAGAGAGATTTTTGTTTTGTTTTTTGATTCATTATCAAACGAGCTCTGCTACGCCAAACATACCAACAAGTGAAGATATCTCGTTACAAAAAGAAAACAAATAAAGATCTATTTTCAAGACATTACTTTTACAATATTCCGTAACTATGTAATAATTAAATTTGGGATTATTGCAAAAGTGAATATAACTAAGTAACTAACATTACATTCAATCTTAAAACCACAACGAAAAACAGAAAAAGCAAACTTAAACGTGATTCTATATGGGATTATCTTTGCTTTTTATTAAGAAAAAAATGCATTGGATAGCTTGTCGTGTTAAAATAAACTTGTAATATTGAGAGTTGATTCAAATTTGTAAAAAGCTAGAAATGTTCCTTTTATACAAATGTCCATAAGAACTAGCATTTGACTTCACAAACAGGATGTATAATAAATAAATTAATTTGGGTCCCCTTTTATTGTTTTTTCTTGTTAGTTTCAAAGGAATAATTATTTTAGGCTGACATGGGTCCCTCCATAAACACACTATTCTGCCAGCTTACAAATGCCTTATTAGGATATGGTCCAGAAAACAGTTCCAACCACTAGTATACAATAATCATTTTATCATTTTTGTTTTAATAATCTTGTATTGTTGTTTGATGATCTACAGATTCTAGATACTTACTAGTTACATAAACTTATTATCTATGTAGTTTGATTCGCTTTCTCCGTACACATTGAGTACAACGTATCCACACCGGACGAAATGGGTTTGTTCAAACTCCAGAAAGAACAAACAAGATTGTTCTTAGTGTATAGTAATTATCCAGGATCAATGCATTTATGTTATTGGGCCGGTTTATTTGTATCTTAAAGTTGTATTCAACGTTCTGAAACCATCAACAGTTTTGGGCCTTTCAGCTTTATGCATGTAAGTTCGAACATGTTCACAACAGTATACTGTATTGTCTTTGATACGAGGGTAATGCTACCAAAGTTGACATTCTAGCCGATGAGACCTAAAGCCGGACCAACTGGAGGAATGGAGACAAGCAGAACTCAAGGCTTTGGTAGTTTTTCTCGTGAAAATTGCTGGAATCATGTATTAGCGAGAAAGAGGCTCTTCTTAGCTTTTTTTTTTTGTTTATCAGAAGTCTGGCTAATGAACTTGGCGCTATGCCTAAATTCTCTTGGGAATTGATGGTTGTCACTTTTTTTTTTTTTTTTTGTGTTTGGTCCTCATGTAAAGAATGCGATATATTTCAATTAGAGTTGTAAAGTTGCTGTAGCAAACATCAGTCGATCAATCACCAAACAAAACATTTAGAGCAATATAAAGCAGTAAGTTTTTTTTTGTATTATGCGATTCCAAAAGAAGAGGGCAACCCAAGACCAAACAAAAAATGTAGAACTAAAAGCAGGAAATAAGTTTTTTTTTTTTTTTTAAATAACTAAGACTAATCAATAAAACGAATCCTAAAGACGAGGGCAAACCGAGACCAAGCAAATCAATTTTAAAGTATACTTTCTTACCCCCTCAATTCTCATGAGACCAAAAAAAAGAGTCATAAAATGCATACATGCAAAAATCATGTTCACTTTAATTTTAATTGAATTACCCCCAAATAAGTATTCCAGCATATTCACAGAGGATGTGTGATGCGTTGTGTTTACCAACAGTCTTATTTTCCAAATTGGTTCTGACGTATGCATGCTATAATTACTGTACTAGTGAATATCGCAATTTCAAAGTTTTTTTTTTTTAAAAATCACAATTTCAAACGTCGAATATATTGTTCTCAAGAACACAAGGCTAATAAAGGACGAAATTATAGAACAACAAAAGCGATCGATATTCCAATGAAAATAGCCTAAAACAAAGGAGAACCACAAATACCAATTGGAAGACCTTAAGAGAGAAGGAAACAAGAACGAGAACAAGTTTACAAATCACAAATTAGCAAAAGAAAAACCAAAAAAAAAAAAAAAAAAAGAGACAAGCGAGGTTTCATGAATCACAGTCGTGCTGACAATCTTCGAACCATTTGTGGGTCTCATTCAATCGATCACCCATAGAACAAAAGAGAAACAAAAGAAGAAGAAGAATCGAAGGAGTGGCAAGTGTATGAGGAAGCTGTGTCCAAACATAGACAAAGACGATGGTTTGGAGACGGTTTTGGAAGTTCCGATACCGGAGGAGATGTTTTCCGGTATGGGCAATAACGTTGCGCTGAGGTGGCAGAACATGATGACGTGGATGAAAGCTCAAACGTCTGATAAATGGTCGCAACCGCTGATCGCTGCCCGTATCAACGAGCTCCGTTTCCTTCTTTACCTCGTTGGATCGCCTCTTATACCTCTCCAGGTTCAAGTCGGCCACTCTGTTCATAAACCTGTCAAAGATTGCTCCATTGTAAGTTTTCTTTCCATGATATCAAATCAATCCCACCAAAAAACAAAAAAAAAAAAAATTCTAATTCGATTGATATACTCTATGAATCACATAAAATTCGATTGCAGCAAGCCTCGACGGCGAAATATATAGTGCAGCAGTACATAGCGGCGACGGGAGGACCGGCGGCGTTAAACGCAGTGAACAGCATGTGCGTCACCGGGCAAGTGAAGATGACGGCGTCGGAATTTCATCAGGGAGATGATTCCGGCGCTAGTCTCAAGAGCAATGACGAGATGGGCGGTTTCGTTTTGTGGCAGAAGGATCCAGATCTTTGGTGTTTGGAGCTCGTCGTCTCTGGTTGTAAAGTCATATGTGGAAGCAACGGTCGGCTTTCATGGCGACATTCCTCTAACCAGCAAACCCCGGCGTCTACCGGTCCACCCAGACCCCTCCGCCGGTTTTTACAGGTACTATATATAAGCCAGCCGGTTATTGAAACATTTTTTCTTTTTTAAAAATGTTATCCCGGCTAATGTTGAACCGGTGGTTTAAAGGGTTTAGATCCTCGATCGACGGCGAATCTGTTCCTCGACGCGACGTGCATCGGAGAGAAGATAATCAACGGCGAGGATTGCTTTATCTTGAAACTGGAGACGAGTCCGGCGGTTCGAGAGGCGCAAAGCGGCCCCAATTTCGAGATAATTCATCATACGATTTGGGGTTATTTTAGCCAGAGATCGGGACTATTGATTCAATTTGAGGACTCGCGGCTTCTGAGGATGCGGACCAAGGAAGACGATGACGTTTTCTGGGAGACCAGCGCCGAATCTGTGATGGATGATTACCGGTACGTGGATAATGTGAACATCGCTCACGGCGGTAAAACGTCGGTTACGGTTTTCCGGTACGGCGAAGCGTCGGCTAACCATCGGAGACAGATGACGGAGAAGTGGCGGATCGAAGAAGTTGATTTTAACGTTTGGGGTCTCGCGGTGGATCATTTTCTCCCCCCGGCCAATTTGCAGATCGGAAAATGATATTTTTGTTTTGTTCAGTTATCTTTCGCCTCATTCCATTGATCATCAACTGAGTCACTGCATGTAGGATGATTCCCTTTGTTTGACTCGTGAATTTTGGATTACAACCAAATATAAAATTTTGTATAAGGTTCTTTACAAATGGTCTAGTTGACCTGTACTACACTGAATTTCTAATATTGTTGGGTACACAAATTTCTAAACCGACAAATTAGCCGGACCAATCAAAATAAAATGTTACTCATTCAATTCTGGGGTTAATGTTTTAATAACGTACGTATCCACTCAAAGTTGTTTAATTTAAATTCGGTTCGGTCGGTTTTTAAATCTGACTGTTAATCATTCGAATTTCTCAACTCTTCCGAATCAAATACCTTATACTGTAATTATTTTTCCCATGTTGCTTGCTTGGAACATTTTTCTGGTATCACTTTTTGTGTGAATGAAGAGAGCATAGAATGATGTAGATATTCTTGCTAAGTCAAGAGCATTCCAAATGATGTAGCCTTTGTTTTTCATAATTACGTTTCCCATAATCCCAGTATCATAACAAATGCAATTCATTGTGATTACATTGATTCTTAATAATGTCAGGAGTTTACAAAAAAAACATGGAATGAGCAGAACTATATGTTATTAAGATTTGTAGGGATGTTTCATAAGCAGGAAATTGATTTGAGTCTATTATTCACAACTTACCTTAATAGTTAAGACAATCCTTTTCTTGGATCTAAATCTTAAGATGTATATCAAATTAATGAACCGACAAAAAAGAGAGGGAAAGATGGATACCGAATTAAAACCTTACCCATCAAATTAATCAAGTACAAATTTCTTTGTGATGAGTAACTTCATTAAAATTAACATTAAAACCAAAAAAAAAAAAAACAATTACACTTCAAAATGAAATAAATGGAATGTATGATTTTGATATTTTCGGTCCTTAAAAAAAATACTTACGCAGGTCTAATTATATAATCGGGGGTATATAAGTTTCGTTTTTCCCCTTACTTTTTTTCTTCTTCTTCCTCTTTCCAGATTCGGAAGAAAAACGACGCTTAGGCTTACAGATTCAACACTTGTTCGTCTCGGATCGCTCAACTCGGAGCCAATGAAGGATGGCGACACCTTACCTTTAAGCAGTTCTTCCGTCGCGGCGACGACGGCGGTTTCATCGAACGCGAAGAAGGAAAGCGGTTATTCCGCCCTCTTCGCGAAAGGCCGGTACAAGTTTTGGGCCCTTGCCGCGATTCTGCTACTCGCTTTCTGGTCAATGCTTACTGGCACCGTTAATCTCCGGTGGTCTGCCGGAAACATTAACCATTTTACCGACGATCTGGTCTTTCCGATCCACGAGGATCTCGATGTTCTTGTGAGTCTCCGTGATCTACTTCTGTTTAAGATTTCCTTGGTTGGTTATGTTTGATTGGGGTTTGTATTGCGAGATTAGGAAATGGAGGAGAGGGAGAAAGTGGTGAAGCACATGTGGGATGTGTATAACAATGGCCGTCGTATCCGATTACCGAGGTTTTGGCAGGAGGCGTTCGAGGCTGCTTACGAGGAGCTCACGAGTGATGTTCCTGATGTCGTAGAAGCTGCCATCTCGGAGATCGCCAGGATGTCTATTCGCTCCGTTGTCATAGATCCGCCTCCGGTGCATTCAACGGTGAGAATTCTCTAATACTAGAATCTGAGACGTTTAGCACTGTTAATTGGTTAAGCTCATAGATTGATTACCTTTGGTTATACAATGAGTCATTTCCCTTACTTTGAATTGGAAGATTAAGATAAACTAGAATGAGAACATATTGATCAGAGTTTGATGATTTGCTAATCGGGTAGGGTGTTCTGCCCTGTAGTTGAAGATATCCTCGTATTCTACAAAGTGATGGTTTCTGTTTACAGTTTAATTAGGCAGAGAATATGGTATCTTTGTCTGCATTTTCATTTTAACACTATGCCACATAAGGTAGAGATCTAAATGCTTGGATATTCCGTTTCTTTCCTCCGCGTGGTTCGTTAGATCGTAGTAGCCTTCTCTTGTCAGTGCATTGGTCTGGTTTCTACTATCCACTTCCATGGTGTTGATCTTGTCAATCTTAAAGATTATAGCAAGCTTTCTTTTCTTATCCCGATACTTCTTGCAAGATCCTTAGTTTCTTAGTGTATGCTTTGGACCAAAAAAAAGAGAGTTGTAAACAAGCATTGATCCACAGAGTCCCCTAGACATAGAAAGCATTTGCCTATTGATCCACAGAGTGTTTTTGCTTATTGTGGTAACGAAATCTTCAAAAGATTTCTTCAATGGTTACTTTGTGTCAAATTGTCTTTAACCGTAATCCATGTTTTGTTTTTGCAGAACGTACGGGAATTGACAAAGACTCTGAAACTTGCGGACAAAGGAAAAAGGAGCCAAATATCAAAACGAAGCAGTCGTCGATTGAAATAGCTGCGGAGCCTCATAAGTTTTCCTTCGCCGGAGCTTTATCAAAGGTAGTGTAGTCGCCGGTCGGCGTGACGTAACCATACATATACCTCATGTCAGAAAGATCAAATCTCATCCCCGTCCCCAAAAATATGTCCATGATTAGTGTTATTTTTTCTTCCACTAGGGGCATGAATCATTTTGCTATCATCTCTAAAAACAAAAATTTTGAGTCACTTTCTTATCTACGGGCTATTATTGAAATCGGATAGTAATGTCTTTTTTTTTTTTTTTTTTTTTATATATGCATTTATAAATTTATCTTTCCGCTCTAAGCTCAACCCATTTTGTCAAATACCCAAATCCGATTTCAGATTATGTTATGGAAAAAATTGAAGACAAAAAAAAAATCAGCTATCACAGTACAGTAAAATTCTCGAAACGTTTATTTTCTCAGTTACTGTATAATCTTTTATTCAGAAAATATAAAATAACATAAATAAGACTAAAATCCCAAAACTAGAACAAAAACTATCAAACCTTTGCTAATTCTGATATCCCCAGCGAACCCCAATCTCCTTCCTCCCGGAAAACCGAAAACCCTAGCTGAGCTCCGACCGCCCTTCACCATCACCATGGGGGACTTGAGCGATCCGTTCATGCGTAACCAAAACGCCGCCGTTCAGGCTCGGACTAAGGCTCAGAACCGATCCAACGTTCTTCAGCTTAAGCTGGTTCGTCTCTTATCTCGGGTTTGCCCGTGCGATTTAGCTCTTGTTTGCTTTGCTCCTCTAACTAGGGTTGGGATTCTATTTTTATCGCCTGGCTGATTATCCTCATACGAGCGCGTGATGCGAATACGATTTAGCTCTTGTTCAGTGCTTAATTTGCTATATATCAGGCTCTTCGGGATTTACTGATATTTACTATTTCCCTTCCAATGCTTGTAACTTAGATCGATTCCGAATATCGATTGTACATTACTTCACTCTGCTCATTGGTTTCAAATTAGTATTTATTAGAGTTTGGAATTAATACGTTCGACCATGGAATTGGAACCTTTTTGGGAAGGATTTCATCTTGTTAATATGATCTCTTGCTAATTCGCAGATGGGTCAAAGTCACCCGACAGGCTTAACGCCCAATCTTTTGAAGCTCTTTGAGCCACGACCGCCATTGGAGTTCCAGCCACCACCGGAAAAGAGAAAATGCCCTCCTTATACAGGTCTTAACTTAGCTACTGAGTGTATTTAACTTAACTCATTCATAGGCTTTAGAGGTAATTTTTTTCCCGTGTATTCGATTTTAGGCATGGCTCAATTTGTGAGTCATTTTGCTGAACCTGGAGATCCAGAGTATGCTCCACCTAAGCCGGAAGTTGAAACACCTGTATGTTTCACCTCAATCTGTCTCTCTATTATGCTTATTTCAGTGACATATATATGTATTGGTCTTATATGTTTGTTTTATTGGTCCAGGCACAAAAAAGGGAGAGAATTCATAAATCACGACTGGAGAAAGGAGTTGAAAAGGCTGCAGAGGAGCTAAAGAAATGTAATCCACCTAGTAGTTATAGCCATGCTTTGTTTTGTGTTTTCATGTTCTTATGATTTGGTGAACTGATATTTTGTCCACAGATGATCCCAATAGTGATCCCAATGCTTCCGGAGATCCATATAAGACTTTATTTGTTGCAAGACTTGTAAGTTGCGCTGCTTGTTGAAATGACCTTCAGTGACAGGTGTGTTTTGTGGTGCTTGACTTTATGTTCCTCTTGTCGTCTTGCAGAACTATGAGACCTCCGAGAGTAAGATTAAACGGGAGTTTGAGGCTTACGGACCAATTAAGCAGGTATGTATTTCTGAGCATTCCCTAACAGCTTCGGTAAGAACTTATGAGATGGCTGCTCGCTCTCATCTTCTCTTTGCAATATGTTTGATTTTACGTCCACAAGTCTCTACGGTTCTGAATTTTTACCTATAACTTTTTCCCTTGAGACCAGAAATCGAGCTTTTGCTGAATTGCCATGTTTTTCCTTCTTTTAGTCTAACTAAAGCCACTGGGCCTTTTTTTTCATAACTTGCTAACATAGAGTAAGTAGTAATATTCCGGTCAATATTAAGTCACAAACCTTTCTGCTCCGTGGTGATTGCTTGAGATGTTTCGTGGCAAATCAACTATAGGAACAGATATAGATCAGGTAACTTTACTTTTAGACCTGTCTCTTCAAAGGATATTATTCCTTTTACTACGATATCGAGGGTGTACCTTCACAGGTTTCGTAGTCTCTGAGATATACTTTCCTCGAAACCCATCCTGGTAAGCCACTAAGAAATATTTTGTTCCCCATTATTCCTATCCATCTGGCTCCCAAGAAAATGACTCATCCTACACGGGAAGCCGAAATTCTGGGGTATGGGCAGTTAATGTAAGATCTTAAAACAATATCGGTAATTAAAGTAGGGAGTATACCAACCCTTCTCTCTTTTTTGTATTTTAAACAAATCTACTATAACTCTTGTCTTCTGGCTTTAAAGGCTAGCAAAAGTTTTGTCAGCTACTATGAAGGTGATCTGGCAAATTTGTGCATTATACATATTTGTATATCTAAATTTCATAAAAGTTTTATAACCCTGGTAAGGGGTCGTTAAACCCTTCAGAAATGGTAAAACTTGCTGCCATGGAATCCATTTTCTGCCAATTCTTGATGTGGTGATGATGTGGAAGCCTGTTAAGAAAAAAGGTTGCCTGTGCGTGTTTGACATGTAACAAAACGTATCTGAAAGGTGGTTCTTGTGATTTTTTGATGTCTTTGTTTGTCAACTCGTCAGGTTCATCTGGTGACTGATCAGCAAACCAATAAACCCAAAGGTTATGCCTTCATCGAGTACTTGCACACCCGTGACATGAAAGGTGGAGAAAAACCGCTCACAACGTTATTCTCTGTTCCAAGATAAGAAATCATTTTTTTGTTTTTGCTGACAAACCAGCTTGTGGTCTCTTATAGCTGCATATAAACAAGGTGATGGAAGGAAGATTGATGGTAGAAGAGTGTTGGTTGATGTTGAGAGAGGTAGAACAGTCCCGAACTGGCGTCCCCGTAGGCTTGGTGGTGGACTTGGTACCACCAGAGTTCCTGGTGAGAAGATCGCTGGCGAGGAGGAACAACAACAACAACAACCTCAAGGAAGAATGTCCCGCTCCGAGGAGCCAAGAGCCCGTGAGGACCGGTAAGATAATTCTTTCTTGACAAATCCCTGCACTTTTTTTTCCCTCTCTGTCACTTTGTTGTGGCTCATTTATGTGGTGGAAGCAGTGAGAAATCTCATGATAGGGGCAAAGAAAGGGAACGCGAGCAATCTCATGAGCGGTCTCGGGAACGGTCTCATGAGCGGTCTAGGGAACGGTCTCATGAGCGGTCTAGGGAACGGTCTCATGAGCGGTCCCGTGAACGGTCTCGCGATAGACTGAGAGAGAGTCATAGAGAGGACAAGCACCACAGAGACCGGGACCGAGGTAGAGACAGAGATAGAGAAAGAGAGAGCAGGCGTGACCGAGGAGATAGAGACCGTCGGGACCGTACTAGGGATCATGACCGGGAGCGGAGTCGGAAGAGGGAACCGGACTACGAGAGCGGTGAGTATGAAGACGACGGCGGAAGATCCCGTGAGAGAGAAGCCGAGTATGAGCAGAGGCGAGGTGAGTCAAAGGAAGGTCATGGCTACTATGAAGGGCGTAGGCGTTCAAGCAATTACGAGCGTGAGGAGGAACAAGAAGGTGACCAAGATCATTATTATCAGTACGGTGACCGTCGTTAGTTGGGATGGGGTCAGCTTCCCCCACTAAAAAATTAATTAGTGTATTTTAAGGATAATGAATATTGCTCCCTTATCAACAGCATTGATTTCTTTTATTCACTCCGGAAATAAAAATCAAACCAATTTAGCAGCATTTTAGCTTATCAGCGTTTTGTATTTGTTTTGGTTTTGTTTTTATACACAACCAAAATCGTTAAAAAGGGAAAAAGGTAGGGGTAAACGTGTCATTTAAAGCTTCCCGCCCTTTGGCGCTACTTCCAATTAATAAAAAAATGGAAAATTGTCAAATAAGTGCTAAGTGTGACAGTGTGTCTTTCCATTATACCCTCGTTTTGAATTTGGTCTCCAAAAGCGACGGAGACTGTTCGGTGATTTCTCCCGCCGGTTGGGTTTTCTCTTACCGGAGTTTCCTTCGTTCTACGATGGTTAGCCTGCGCTCCAGAAAAGCCGCTCCGTAAGTCTTCTCACCTCTGCTATTGTCTCTTTCTTTTCATTGTTGTTTTCCGGCGGTTTTCTGATCCTTAACGCTCTCTAAGTCGCTCACTGTTTTTGGGGTTTTTTACTCTCCGCGTTTGATTGCTTGTTGTGTTTTGGTTTCTATTTCGAAATCACCGGTTTCTCTTTTGATTTTTTTTTTTTGTGTTTGCCATATCATTTTCGGATTCTTAGGGCTTCGGAAATGGCCAGCGACGGGAAAACGGAGAAAGATGCGTCTGGCGATTCACCGACTTCTGTTCTCAGTGAAGAGGTTTGTTCTGGGTTTTACGCTTTCCCCTCATTTTCCTGTTATTTATTCACCTACAATAATAAATAGATTTGTTCGCTCTTTTTCTTCTTTTTATTTGTTTCTTGGATAAAATTTTTTTTTGTGTCACATTCGATTTTTGTTCTGCAAATGGGTATTACTTTCACTTTCTGATTTGCTCTTGTTTCTGACTCTGAAGGAAAACTGTGAGGAGAAGAAAACTGCTACCGTTGCAGAGGAAGAGACACTTCTAGCCTTAACTGGAGATTCATCTCTTATTTCTGAAGCCATGGCTCAGGAAGAAGAGCAGCTGCTCAAAATTCGGGAAGATGAAGAGAAAGCAGAATTTGCTGTGTCCGGTGAAGTTCCTACTCTGAATGATACCCAGTTTACTAAACTAGATGAGCTCTTGACGCAAACACAACTGTACTCTGAGTTCCTCCTTGAGAAAATGGAGGATATTACCAAAGTAATCTTCGTTTTGCCTTGTTCTTGTTGGTTCTTCACGTTTGGATTGAGACTCATTTTTCTTAATTAAGTACTTGTGTGAATATTGTGTTTTGCTAGAATGGAGTAGAAGGTGAGAGCCAAAAAGAAGAGCCCCAGAAGACTGGTCGTGGACGCAAAAGAAAGGCTGCTTCTCAATGCAACAACGTTAGTTCCATTTATAAACTTTATCTACCATGAGCTTCAATGTATTTGTTTGATTTTGTGCATGTTTCCGGAAAATCCAGGATGCTTTATTCCTTATTTTTTTTTTTTCAGACGAAGGCTAAGAGAGCTGTTGCTGCTATGATTTCGAGATCTAAGGAAGGTGGTCAAACCCTCGACTCCGATCTGACGGATGAAGAAAGAGTCATGAAAGAGCAAAGTGAACTAGTTCCTCTTCTAACTGGTGGGAAGTTAAAGTCTTATCAGCTCAAAGGTGTTAAATGGCTAATATCGTTGTGGCAAAATGGTTTGAATGGAATCTTAGCTGATCAAATGGGACTTGGAAAGACAATACAAACGATTGGTTTCCTATCTCATCTGAAAGGAAATGGGTTGGATGGTCCATATCTAGTAATTGCTCCACTGTCTACTCTTTCTAACTGGAAGAATGAGATCACTAGGTACTCTCTTGACCATTCATGTTTACATAGATGTCAATCTTTGGGGTCTATGTCAATTTTTCTTCCCCTTGCTGAATAGGTTCACGCCTTCCATTGATGCAATCATCTACCATGGAGATAAGAAAGAGAGGGATGAGCTCAGGAGGAAGCACATGCCCAAAACCGTTGGTCCGAAGTTCCCTATAGTTATCACTTCTTATGAGGTTGCTATGAATGATGCTAAAAAAAATCTGCGGCAATATCCATGGAAATATGTTGTGATTGATGAGGTAAGTTTCCAGATTGGTTAATGTACTAGACACGTTAGTTTGTATCTTCAAGTTGATCCTTCTAACTCGCTATTCTGTACTGGTATTATATAGGGCCACAGGCTGAAAAACTCTAAGTGTAAATTGCTGAGGGAACTAAGATACTTGAAGATGGAGAACAAACTTCTGCTGACAGGAACACCTCTGCAAAATAATTTGTCTGAGCTTTGGTCACTGTTGAATTTTATTCTGCCTGACATCTTTGCATCACATGATGAATTTGAGTCATGGTACAAACGTTCCTTTTCTACTATTATCCATATAGCAAAACTGGTGGCATCTTTTTGACATTTTTTCCTCTTACAGGTTTGATTTTTCTGGAAAGAACAAAAATGAAGCAACTAAGGAAGAAGGAGAAGAGAAAAGAAGTGCTCAAGTATGAACAATTATGTTCACTATTACTGGATTTCTTTGATTGTACATATATGATATATCTCATGGGAAGATTAAATTTTTGTTTAGGTTGTTGCTAAACTTCATGGCATACTACGACCATTCATCCTCCGTAGAATGAAATGTGATGTTGAGCTCTCACTTCCACGAAAAAAGGAGATTATTATTTATGCCACAATGACTGATCATCAGAAAAAGTTCCAGGAACATCTTGTGAATCGCACGTTGGAAGCACACCTTGGAGAGAATGCTATCCGAGGTACTGATCTTATGTGTTTTTATGCCTTTACAGGTAATTGTGTCATTTTCTGTATTGCTTTGCTCATTCCTACTACATCAGGTCAAGGCTGGAAGGGAAAGCTTAACAATCTGATGATTCAACTTCGGAAGAATTGCAACCATCCTGACCTTCTTGTGGGGCAAATAGAGGGTTCATGTATGTTAGTGTGCCTTTTTACAAAAGTTTGAAACAAACTTCTGTTTTACTTCTCTAACTGTTACTGTTCTTGACAGATCTCTATCCTCCTGTTGAAGATATTGTTGGACAATGCGGTAAATTCCGCTTATTGGAGAGATTGCTTGTTCGGTTATTTGCCAAAAACCACAGAGTATGTTCTACAAACCCCTGGCTCTAGCTCATTTCCCCTGAGAAGTGCTCTGATCTTTTCCTGATGAACAGGTCTTAATTTTCTCCCAGTGGACAAAACTTTTGGACATTATGGATTACTACTTCAGTGAGAAGGGGTTTGAAGTTTGCAGAATCGATGGCAGTGTGAAACTGGATGAAAGGAGAAGACAGGTTTCTTCTGTGCTTATGTTGCTATTGCATTTAAACAACATTCTGACCATATTTATAACCACAAAGTCTCTTTCTCATGAAATAGATCCAAGAATTCAGTGATGAGAAGAGCAGCTGTAGAATATTTCTTCTCAGTACCAGAGCAGGTGGACTCGGAATCAATCTTACTGCTGCTGATACGTGCATCCTCTACGACAGTGATTGGGTAATCAATTCAGTTAATCTTCTAAGAAAGTCTTTCGTTGTCTAATCTCTCTCGGGTGGTCTCTAACTGTGTTTTTGCCTTATCTCCAGAATCCTCAAATGGATTTGCAAGCCATGGACAGATGCCACAGAATTGGTCAGACAAAACCTGTTCATGTTTACAGGCTTGCAACGGCTCAGTCAATAGAGGTAAAACTCTTTGCTGTCTTACTAATTAATTTCTACTCCAAGCCAGTTAGATTGTTGCCTCTTGAGACTAGTTTATGACATTTTGCACAGGGCCGGATTCTGAAACGGGCGTACAGTAAGCTTAAGCTGGAACATGTGGTTATTGGCAAAGGGCAGTTTCATCAAGAACGTGCCAAGTCATCAACACCACTAGAGGTTTCAATTCTCTCAAAAACCCATTCCTCTTATACCCTTAATAGAAAAGCATCATCTTAAGCTTAAACCAAACAAACACACAGGAAGATGACATACTGGCGTTGCTCAAGGACGATGAAACCGCTGAAGATAAACTGATACAAGCCGACATAAGCGATGAAGATCTTGAGCGGTTGCTTGACCGGAGTGACCTGATGATTACTCCACCAGGCGAGACAGAACCACAAGCTGGTGAAGCTTTCCCAGTGAAGGGTCCGGGTTGGGAAGTGGTCCTGCCTAGTTCAGCTGGAGGGATGCTATCTTCCCTCAACAGTTAGAACCATTGAACCACCCATTGAAAACCACATCGGTGTGGTTTTTTTTTCCGGAACATTACCGGTTACTTTTGCCTAAAAAGGGTTTGATCATTAGAGGGTCTCGGATGTTTTGTAAGTTAAGAAAACACTTGAAACCATGGAAACATGAGAGTTAATGGTGTTATTAGCTCTCATGTGTTAAAACAATTGACCCTATTCTAGTATATGTTTAGGAGTTACCTGAAAATTAACGAAAATCTCAAGACTTATACTAAGTTACAAAAAAAACTCCGTTGCCGGGAATCGAACCCGGGTCTCCTGGGTGAAAGCCAGATATCCTAACCGCTGGACGACAACGGATTTGATACTGAACATTCTCAGTAACTATTATTGTACTATTTTTCTAACAACATTTTATTTTATCAAATTACAAAGGTTCCCAAATATTATTATTGGATTAGAACCGTCCACGAGTATCTTTTTCTATGTTTCTGAATACTATCAAGCTAAATCATAATATAAACAAAAACGGACGAAAGACGAATAATAAGTTTATCTGAGTTGCTTGTTACAATTTACCTGAGAATTCACTGTTGTTTATCTATCTATCAAACACGAAATATAATGGTAGACAAAAACATGGTTAATTTTAAAATGATATTTTCTAATGTTCCGTTATAAGATCATTTTAGCACTTAATCGTTGGATTTATTTTAAACGGTTGGGATCAGGAGACGCCGACAAAGAATAAGTGCGGCACCAAACAAACATTTGGGCAAGTATGTCACAGAGGGTATTATTGACAATGTGACAATTACAAGAGCCTAATCTTGGGGGCTCGTTTTAGTTCCCAAAGCAAATCGGTTTAGCCGTAATTATCGGTAGAAATTAA